TCGAAATGTGTTTCGCGCGTCCGATTTATGGTCTACATAATCGACCAAGTGAGCAAACAATTAATGCGATTGTGACCAAGTTTCGCACTCAGTTTACTTTATTGGACATTTATTGGACATTGGACGAATGCGTACAGTGCGTACAGAAGAGAATATTGCGTCTGTTTCTGAGAGTGTTGCTGAAGACCGTGAAATGTCGATTCGTCGCCGTTCGCAGCAATTGGGTTTGCGAAACACATTTCGAACCGAACACTGATTTTGGTAATAAAATTCAATGATTTGCAAGCGTTGCTCGTTAGTAAGTCTATTCATGATGAAATTTCAAAGCATACTGAGCATCTTTCTCTTTGACACCATGTCTGAAATCCCACGTGATCTGTCAAATACTAATGCATGAAAATCCTAACCTCAAAAAAATCACCCGTTATTTGGGTTTTTGTTGCACTTGCCACCCCAATAGGCGCCGCTGCGGTGCTTATGCGAAATGCTAAGAGGGCAATTATGATTTTTATATTTTTATAGTAAATCTTCAAGTACAACTACGCAATTATCGAAAATTGTACGTAATTCAGCGGAATAGTAAGCAAAAAGTCTGCGATTGTGTACATATAAGAAATATGATTAAAGAGTTATATGTGTGTTGGCAAAAAGCATTCCGGTGATAAGATAAACGTCAATTGCTTTATACATACATACATACATAAGCGGACGGACAACTAACCAGTTCAAACTATATAAATACATATGTATACGCATGTATGTATTTATATAGTCAATGTAAATAACCAGTAAAGATCGCACATATGCAATACAATATACTCGTACATATGTATGTATATGCATACATATCTGAAATGCGATTAACCTTATAGCCACCACTTCTAATACCAACTAGTTTTTCTTCCATCATGAATAACAATAATTTTTCAGTTTTTCAGCAATTTTATGTCTTTGCAACTCTTTAACAAATAAAATGCATGTGTGTTTGTAAACAAAAACAAAAAAAAAAAAATTATATGATAAAATAGTTAGCCAATAAAAGTTAATGATTGAACCCCAATTAAGTTGTTAATAGATCTGGTGTAATTTTATGCACTGCTACTACTTTTTGTATTAACTATTTTATTAATTAAATATAAATGCACGTGTATGCATGCGTAACAAAACACTGACACACACGCGCACACCACAATAAAATGCTAACCTAATTGCATATCAGAGAACAGCATGAGTGCCCATTTTTGTGACTCTAACAGGGCAATTTTCGCTAAGATAGTAAAAAGTCTTTTCAAAGAGCAATTAAAGCAGATGAAAAAATAGTTCGGAAGACTTTTGTGTTATTTTTGTTATTCTAGTCTTGGAAGAAAAGTTCTCTCATTCACCACTCGTGCTGAAAAGCGCAATGGTCAAGTGAACAAAGCACCGGCGTGACATTTGAGAGATGCGAGTTCGAATTTTCGGATTGTTTTTTTTTTTAATTCACATTATTTTTCTTTTTTAATATAAGTTTCTTCTAAATTTTAGATTTTATTGTTTTAAGAAGAAAAATATATATTTTTCAATTTCATTTACTTTTGTAAATAAATTTTTTCCTTTTTTTAGTTTCATTTTCTTCCAGTTTTTAGATTATCATTTTTAGAAACTTATTTTTTTTATTGCTTTTTTTAATTTAATTTGTTATCTTTTGCTAATTTAATTTTCTTTAAATTTTCATATTTTATGGTTTTATAAAGAAAAATATTTTGGTTTTATTTCATTCAATTTTAAGGATACTTTTTTGTCTTTTTTAAAGTAATTTTCTTTCAGTTTTTAGATTTCGTTTTAAAAATAAAAATATTTTTTCTTAATTTAATTAATTTTTTTTTTTCCTTTAAAAATTTATTTCACTTAAAATCATTTAATTTTTAGAAACTTATTTTATTTATTTCTCCCTTTTTTAATTGAATTTGTTTTTTCTTTTAACATAATTTTATTTGAATTTTTATATTTTATGGTTTTATAAAGAAATATATATTTGTTTTATTTAATTTTTATTTAATTTTATTTTATTATCTTATTTTATTTTTTTTTAATTTTTGTTTTGTCTTAGCATAACGTTTAGATCTTCTCGTTAGCAGATCTTTAAATTAGTCTTTCGAAAGACTTAAAGCGGCTTAAAAATTTGTTAAAAATAATAAAAACAATACATTTTTCTGTTGCATAATTGCATTTTGATTTTGTCGTTAATTGTTGTTTAAACTACCTTATTTTTTTAAATAATTTTAGCGACTTGGAAGAGGCAATTAATTAAAAATAATAAAAAGCAATACATTTTTTTGAATAATTTTCTATGTTGCTCGTTTAAAAACGGTTTTTGATTTTTTCATTCTTTTTTTAATTGGAAAAAATATTATATTTTATTCAAAGAAGCTAAGAATTGCTCCAGTTATTATTTACTCACTCAAGTAATAGGTAATTGTTATTTGGAGCGAAGATTATGCAGATGGCGAAAGGGTGATAAACATTGTATAGCAATTTTCTATGAATCTTGAACTCTTTACTGAATTTGATAAGGATGCTTCTTAATTTTTTGAATTTTAACCATGGTGATTATTGTTTGTTTAGATTTCAAAGTGGTACATAGAACAACCGGTTTTGCTTTTCTATTTTTATTATTCTTCTCTTCTAAAAATGATTGAACATTGAAAAAAAATTGCCACCATTTTTTTTTATTTAAATTTTTTTTTTTTTGCAAAAGTAAACTGGCTCATCTTGGAACGGCAAAAAAACGTCAAATTTGGATATAAAGCCTGGTCTTTTATCTCTGAGTTGAAAAAAAAAATACAAGAACGACAAAATTATTTTTTCCACAACTAATTAATGGCAAATTCAGGGGTCATGTTGTTTCGCTAACTTTATACACTTGCGCTCGCTGCGCTAACTCATAAGGTCAAGGCGCACCCAGCCTTTCACTATCCGGGAGCACTTCCCCAAGGATTCCCTGTCATGCCAGCTCATCGACCATACGGTTTCCACCGATTTCGCTGTGTTCCGGAACCCGAAAATAAGCCTAATAGCGAAGTTGTCCTTCAGCGTTCTCGAACTAGCCGTCAAGGAGCCCAGAGCCTTGATCTGCTTGGCTGTGGAAAATATAAACTAAGTGGAGTAAACATAGCAAAATTTCTGAAGCCATATTTACGATACTCATGTATGAAAATGTACAGAGTATAAATGCAATGTTACTACTGTTGCGGTATACTCGTGCCATTCTCTGGTACACACATGCATACATATGTACGTGTATGTGTTATGCGCCTGCCAACAAGGCAAATAATATTAGATATGATTTAGCATTTTTTTTTCCACAAGTAAATAGTCGGGCGACACTGACGATTTCTACTCGTATATTGCGGGAGATGTTGTTGTTGTTGTTGTTGTTGTTGCTGTTGATTTGTACCAGTGAGGATGATGACGATGCTTTCAAGCTTAAGTAAATACTTGAACTTGAAAGCAATTTCCATAAAGTTTTATTATATTGCCAATAAGCACAAGGAGTTTTATGGCCTCTCCAACAGTGAATATGTTAAGTGCACAAACACATACATACATACATATGTATGTACATACAAACCGACCCATATGCATATGTGAATGCGAAACCCCTTTACCCTTAGTAATGGTGATAGTGCACCCAATATAAAATAAAAATTTTATATACTACATATACATACATAAACATATGTATGTATTTATTATCAAACTATGTATAAATACGCCACTAATCATTCTCAATACAGAAGTTTACAAGTACATTAGATTAGATTAAGATTTAATTTTTAAAAGTTAGCAAAATTGAAATCGGAGATTTATGGCAAAATGGCCTCTGAGTGCTTGCCGGGCGATCGTACTTAAGCTCTATCGTGACTGTACGCGAAGGTCAGCGACGGGACCGAGATGACCTACATATATTAATAATAAAACACGGCAGGAAACTAGAGGGAGAGTCTGCCTGAGTGGACAAGCCTCCGTACATGTGAAAACATCACTTTGCCCATAGTTTTAAGGTCGGAATAATACGCGAGATGGTATGTTTAGCAACTTGGCAGAGTATATGCTGAGGTTAGCTATTTAACCGTACAGTATTGCTGCTGCCGAAAGAAATAAATATACAGGAAGGTTTGCAAGAACTCTCACCAACAAAAGGTCAGACATTTATACGTCGCACAGTGCCGCCTAAGTGGGCAAAAATCGAAAAATTGTGAACGTGTTTGGTATTTATGTAAAGGTAATTTATCCACTAAAACAAATTAAACAGAAATTTCCTTACAATAAAGTCGACAAATTTTATACTAAGAATATTAATAACAGCATAGCCATGCGTAAGCTCTTCACCGAAATAAATGTCAAAAATACTTTCTTCGAAATAAAATGTTACAGTATTAAAAATTTTGGAATAAACAGTTTTTCTTTATCAATATTTAAAAAAAAAATGCAAATTTTAATGGAATGAACAAAAAATATCATTTTTTCATTTATTATCAGTGCCATCAGGTCTGCACGATTCTTTTATTTCGTTTATTCGTTTGGGTTTATTTTTTGTTTTAACGAGTTAACGGGTGGTGAATTATTATTTCTTGTTTAATATGTTCGATTTTTTCTTTTGTCTGATACCCATATTGATATACATATTTCAGTTACCGCGTCGAAA